AAACTGCTCTCTAAAGATGCATTTGATGTGTCTTTTAATGAGCAAAAATGCAAGAATCATCCTGAATACTTGAGGTGAAAATTTGTCTCAACCAAGTCTTCTGGCAGTACTCTCTGTCACATGCACAGGGCCAGGACTGCAGAACTGGTGTTTTAAACAGAGGTGAACCAGACCTCTGGCTCCCTAAGGAAGCTGAGATCTGAATTAACACCAAATATTTCACTTGAAATCTTGATTTTACATTTCTGCTACATTTTTTGCCTAAATGTGGGACCTGTCCTTCAGCCAGATACAAGCAGGTGTAGTTTATTTTAGTCCACTGTGTTCTGTGGATTAATGTGCCCAGCTCCATCAAAGGTTTGGAGAATGTTCAAAGGGGGTTCCTTGAGTTAACCCTTTCAAAAGTATCTGTTATTTCATATGTGACACCTGTACTGCAAATCTATTGTTATTCACAGCACTTGCTTTGAGTAGTGTGAGATATAAAAGGAAGGGTAAAACACACACATAGCTTAAAAAAATTTAAAAGCTCCTTTCTAATTAGACTTTTGTAGCATGAGGAATTGTCGGGATGTGTTTGTTGTCTCAAGAATGTGCTTGACATGGTGGAATTGTTTAGAAATTTGAGTCCAAATCTCGTCACAGTGAAAAGCTTCTTGTGCTGTCTCTGTTTTCCAGCAAAAGAAAAGAGGCCACACACTGTTTTCTGGCTTTGAACTCAAGTGACCTATTCGAGATTATAGCTGCATATCTTGGTTCTCTTTCTCCCCAAAGAGTATTTTATTGGATAAGTCTCTGTCATGTGCTCTTCCCGAACCATGCTTCACTGTTATCTGAAATAGCACCGGTTGCAAAGGACTGATACTACTGCGTGAGGGAACTTGCTGGCAGTTTAATGGTTTGGATTGTCAAGGGCTGGTGCCTCAAGTCTGTCGCATGGCCATGCTTTAATTCTCTAGAAATGCGCATGTGTTAAAACCATGAATTGTAATCATAAGGTGCCATTATTACAAAGCTGAGCATTGGAGTGGAGGGAGTGCAGAGGACGGTGCTGGTCTCTTTTCAGTGGTGGCCACTGATAGGACTAGAGGAAATGGCTGGAAACTGAAACACCAAAAATTCCATAGGAACTTAAGGAAAAATTTCTTAACAGTGAGGGTGACAGAGCACTGGAACAGGCTGTCCAGAGAGGTTGTGGAGTCTCCTTCTCTGGAGATCTTCAAAACCCGCTTGGACGCAGTCCTGTGCCATGTGCTCTAGGTGACCCTGCGTGTGCAGGGGGGTTAGACTAGATGATCTCTAGAGGTTCCTTCCAACCCTAAGCATTCTATGATTCTATGATTCTATGATTTTGAATCAGATAATTTTTCTAGTCTAGCTGTTCAGATAGTTGGAAACAGATACAGAAACCTGACCCTGGGTTAGGCAGTATCAAAGATATATGCCCTAAAAGATATTCCTGTTGGTTAAACATGGACAGGCAATTTCCAGATTTTTTTTTACCAGACAAGATTTTGCTTCATTTTGGTATAAAATGTAAAAAGAGTGGGGAAACTATTTCCCATTCACGTTTACTCCTGGCTCCTAGGGTAACACTGAATTCCTTCAAGTATTTGTGCATTTGTCGTTCTGGACTCTCTTTTGCAGCGATGTGCTTTCCCTGCTCTGGTTCTGGCTGTGTGGATGCACCATATGCCATGTACAAAATGGTATGTGACACACATTAATATATATAGATAGCCTTCTGCTGCTGACCTTACAAACTGTCCACTTCAGCACTGTCATTCTATAAAATGTCCAAATGCAGTCCAAGAAATGCATTTTAAATGTGGATGCAAACATTTCTATTACTGATAGCACCAGCACAGCATTTTTTCTTTGCTGGGATTAGGACCTTGATAGTTAAAGTTATAGGCTTAGTAATGACACTCCAAGGTTGTGTCCTTTACTGACGTGGTAAAGCAAAGAGAGTCCTTTGCTATGTTTCTGCTGATAAAGTTGAGAAGGATTATTCCATTTGTTTGGTGACATACATTAAAAGTGAAATAATATATTTGTGACCAATAAATATTTCAGGCGAGGAGCACTGGGAGGAATTAACATGCTGTATCACAGGCAAATTGCATTTAATTCATGTTGAAAGTCTGAATTTAGGAAGTGTTATGAAATCTAATAATGCTCCTGATGAATGCCTCCATCGTCAGTGAACAGACATCTTCTCACATGAGCTGTAAAAGAGCAGCAGTTCAGCTAGGGACACCTTAAAAAAAGCTAAAAGGTTCTGTGGGCTGCAGAAACAATTCCAAAGTAGAAGGCAAACTTTCCAAATATAACCTGGGTTTGACAATGCACCTTTCTGTTTCAGTTTCTTTAAAATGGGTTAATAACCTCTATAGAATCTGTCTACCTTTGAGGAATGTATTAAAAAGAAATTCATAGAATCATAGAATCATAGAATGCTTAAAGTTGGAAGGGACCTCTAGTCTAACCCCCCTGCACACGCAGGGTCACCTAGAGCACATGGCACAGGACTGCATCCAAGCGGGTTTTGAAGATCTCCAGAGAAGGAGACTCCACAACCTCTCTGGGCAGCCTGTTCCAGTGCTCTGTCACCCTCACTGTTAAGAAATTTTTCCTTAAGTTCCTATGGAATTTTGGATGTTTCAGTTTCCGGCCATTTCCTCTAGTCCGATGGACTCTCTCCAGCAGCTCCACATCCCTCTTATACTGTGGAGCCCAGAACTGGACATAATACTCCAGATGTGGCCTCACTAGGGCTGAGTAGAGGGGCAGGATCACCTCCCTCGATCTCTACAGTGTTTTGAATGCTTTAGATATATGCAGCTCTTATAATACAGCGTAGTAGGTAGGACTGCCATTTTGCCAGGCCATTGCGCAGGAGAGCTCTCCTATTTTTCTTTATGGCTCTCTGGTCTTTCCATACACTTTATATTGACTGGGTGAGTCTGGCAAAGGGATGATGATTCCAAGAGTTACCACTTGTTAGTGGATCTACCATAGCCAAGTGCACTGTTTAGTGTGAGAAGCTGATTTAAGTTGCCACATGGTCCTTCACTGTTGGGCCTACCTGGAGATGCATGGGCAGGCTCTGTGTCTGCTGAAGGAGCAGTAACATTACAACACTGTCACTTGACTGAGATCTAGCATAGCCTAATAAGGGTCAGGAAGAGTGTGATCTCTGGGAAGAGCCTCATGCCCCTCCAGGTATGCCTGGCTCTGTAGGTTGATGTATCTGCATGATGCTTTATTAGGGACTGTTGTGTCGCAGGATTTAATGACCTTCCAGGATTTAAATAAGCAGAGGTCTCAGCAGACACCTGTTATTCTTCATAACACTGTTCATGTGTGTATTCTTTTTTTTATTTATTTCTCTCTAACAAGAGATTCAAGTTCATCTTGTTTGGCTAGATCTCTGAAAAAACCTCAGTAGCCCACCCACAAAACCTTTTCACTAAGCAGCTATTTTAGAGATAATTTTACATTGTATTATGCATTTCTCATTGATATAATATAAACTAATAGCTGAAATCAATAGGAATTGCATGTATTTGTTTGGAGACAGATTTTCCTTCAAGTTTCATCAAAAACACTTTAGCCTGATTTACTGAGGAAATGAGTCTCATGAATAGCACTAGTCTATCCATCTCTCTGTCCATCGTTCTGTACCATACCTAATGACTTTGAACCAATTGTCCAATTTCAATGAAATTTGTCAGGAATAAAGAGATGTAAAAAGATAATAAGTTCCTGAATTGAATGAGAATCAGCAGATGGATTGAGGAAAACTACTCTGTTAATATTTCTGCTGAGGAAAGAGAGGGAGAATTCAGCCATAATCCATCCTGCTTCTCAGCAACCGAAAAAGTCTACACTAGTCAAAGTGTGTGATAATGGACATGAGGGAACTGGGAGGATATCAATAGGGACATTGCAGGGCAGTGGATGTTGAGCATGAAAAAAAAAAGGAACTAAAGGCTCTGAGAGGGGAAACTGGAAGTTTATCAGTGGGATAGAGGGTTTTTTGGGCTATTGTGATAGAGGAAACCAGAGGAGACATAGTGAGCAAAATGAGATTGCTCCAACAGGAAAGATAAAAGAACACAAAACAGATCTCTCTGACCCTAGCTTCATGCACTGTTGTTCAAAAAAGTTGGGTTTTATTCACAAATTTCACCAGAAGTTCGTTTCAGATGCTCTCATCCTTGGAGGAAGGGCCTTCCAACAGTAACTTCCTTCAATCTAGTCATAATTCAATCAGAATCTTTCTTACACTGTGTTTGACACTTATTCTAGTATTAGTTTTATACAGTCATTTTCACACTTTAGGAAATCACTTCATTCTAAAATGTCAGAAATGTAACTTACTGAGACTATTTGCCCCAGAAATGTTAGAAAAAATGTGTTATCTAATATCATCATTCCCATTTTCTATGCACTACTTAGTTGTCATCCAAAATAAGTCACATTTTTACGAACATGTCTTCAGGAGCCATATCCTGAAAGGCACCAGTATCTCTTTGGTCCTCACTGAGATCTAAAGTGCCAGGTAACAGCAAATCAATGAAAATTACATAAGTATGTAAATTCAGTCAATAACTTTGTATGGTTGAATTGTAGAAAGCAAAACAAACAGGACAGACATTTGCCTAATTTCTCTCTCATTAATCCTATCTACAGATGAGAGGTGGGCACAAGCATCATGCTGGGGCCAGAGGGTGGCCCAGAACTGTTTCATGCATGTTTAGTCACGGGGGATTTGTTGGGGGTGATAATGGCCAGTGCTAAAATGTGTAAGTGATATGTGGCTCACCAAATGTGTTTGAAAGTCCTAATCAACGCAGTAAAGAAAAGGTTCATTTTTCACCATCAGCCTGTCCTATTTGTCTCTCTGCACATATTTAGTTTAAGTTTGATTTGATGTGTATAAAGCAAGTTATTACATGTGGAAAACATTTCACTTCCTGTGTTGTTTTCTCCAGATTATAGGAACAATCCCGCTGATGCCTAATCCAGTCTCCTCCAACCAGGCGGCAGGTGGAGCTCAGGGCCTGCAAGTGCAGCCGATTACTCCACAGTTACTGACTAATGCCCAGGGTCAGATCATTGCTACTGTCATCGGCAACCAGATACTCCCCGTGATCAACACCCAGGGAATAACACTATCTCCACTAAAACCAGGCCAACAGGTAATGCGTCTGTAGTCTCAATGTTTGTAAAAATAAATGTACAGGAGAAGCAGTGTCTGCTCCTTGCTGACCCTCACAGCCTCTGAAAACTTTATTTTTCTGTTTTCACTAACAAAAGATGTATAATTTATATGTAATTTTAATATAATGTGAGATAAAGAGTTTATACATTCAGCATTATCCTGTTGGGCTTTTTCTTTTCTTTTAAAGGTATGCAGGGTCAGCTAGAAATTTTCTCTTAACTTTTATCTCTGATATAGGAGTGTGAAATAGGAGAGACCTTATGGCCCATAAAGTTCACTCATTGGTTGTTGGTCAGCCAGAAAACAGAAATAAATGAAACTATTAGCCTCCTTCACTGGAAAAAGGGAAGTGTTCGTGCACATTTGCACAAACAGAACAAATTTTTAGACAAATTATTATTTAGTGGAAGCATGAGGTAGTTCACAAACTTCAGGGTAGGTGCAGCAATTTCGCTAAGGTCTAAAGAGATTTTTGTAGATTTTTTTATAGTACTCAAGTCAAATTAGTTAATGTCATCTGCATCTGTAGAGTAAAGAATTGCAATGCCACCTCTTTGCTCTGCAAGAGAGGAAATCAAGAATGAAAAAGACAACAAATGTGATTGCCAAAAAGGCACTTATGAAAGTGTCACTCACTTAAATGTTCCACTTAGCATTTCTATTGCTGGTACTACCTATTTGCTAGTCCTGCCCACACCTCCAATCCTAGTTAGCAGTCTTTTATAGACTTGTAAATCCCAGGGCCACACGAACTCCAAATCAAGATTTTTTGTGGTTCTTTTTCAATTTTAGATGTGGAGAGCAAGAAAAGGCAAATTTTTGTTAGTTTGTTTTGAAGATATTTCACATCCAAATAGTTACATTCTTTTTTTTTTTTTTTTTGCCATCCTATCCTCTATGGTATTTAGCAGAGGCATTTTCCAAAGCACTTGGCATTTATCTACCTCTATTTTCTTTAATGGGAGTAGACTTCTACTACTGGCAAATGCTTTTCAATTGCTGAACATATTTAGTTTTAAACAAAGAAAGATACATGGAGGGAAAGCTGTGTGTTCTCCAATGTTAGAAAGCCTGACAATGAACTGAAAAATTCAGCAGTTTACATTTGGGGATTTTTTTTTTAAGTCAATTACCTGAAGAGATTAGATCTTTTCCTCTTTTATGGAGGGAAGCTCTCAAAAACCATCGCAATCCTGAGATCCCATTTGAAACCCATGAAATTTAGAGCTAAGCAGAGAATGGAGGTCCTATATTATTCCCCAAGACCTTCTAACCTAGGGCAACACATCTCTGGCACAACTATGTCCCCTCATGAGTGTGGCAGCAGGGAACTTCTAGGCAAAGTCTGCCAGAAAAATCAGTAGGCAGAGAGGAGACAGAGACACAACCCTTTCCTGCATTGCTAGTGGCGTGGAGCTCACATAAAGGGACAAGCTGCTGCTGAATGGGGCAGCTTGCTGAAAGATGGAAAAGCCACCATTTAGCCTTGTCATGCTCTACTGTAGTAGCTCACCCAATCTGAGCGTTCAAGGGCTCTCAGAAGAAATTAACAACTTGCTCCAATTTCTGGTTGTGTGCAAGAATCAAAGATGAGTCCTATATCATGCTATGAGAAGAGCTGTCCTTGTATACCAAGCAGTGCTATGTGATTAGAAAACATTGTTTTCTTAAGATCCGTCCTGTAGAATCCAGCCCGTGCTTCTCATGCAGTCAGATTGCTGAAGTCCAGGAGTTTGCAGGAAGGGCTACCAGCAACACAGACCCTCCTTACCTTCATCTGTTGGAAACCCATCTAGAAAGTACTCTTGATCGGGGGGGAAAAATAATACAAATACTATATGAAAGAAATACTATGCATTATCATTTTTTTAGGAGCTACAGAAAATTATTTCTGTGTATTTGTGCTCCCTCTACTGGTTCTTCTGCTTTTACTGAAGGCTCCTAGTAATGTCAGAGGAAATTTTGTCATTGATTTCAGCAGAAGAATTGAAGCACGAGAGGCAGATCCTTCATAGGAAGAAAGTTGATGAACATGAAAAAGCAAACGGGATAGTACAATACTGATGGCCATATCATTTAAAAAGTAAATCTCCTTCTATAAGGAGATTCTGAATTTCCCTTGCTGTCTGGGTAACAATTTACCCAAACTATTGTGCTTTGCTAATGGTAGCATATCTAATCCTAAATTCAAAATCTCATTTTCAGAAGGTCTGAGTGCTGAAACTCAGAAGGCTCAGCAAAAATTATTATTGAATTTAGTGTCCTACTGCATTTGGTGTCTTTTAACTTGATAAAAGAAAACTCAGAAGGGAAAAAAAAAAGTACAAGGCAAGTTTTGGAAGAGTTTAAGAATGTTGCAGAGAAATAAGTGAGGAAATAAATAATGTTCCAGTTCTAGGTGATCCTAGCTTAACTTCCAACTTGTTATTTTCTTAGAGACTAAATGCTCCAGGAGAAAGGAAGGAGAACAGATGATTGCAAGCGATGATAGGAAGTTCCTGCTTGTTGGCCAAGTCACAATAACTGCACATGTGCAGCCTAACTCAATTGCTAAGTAATGCATTTGCTTACTTTTGGTGCAAAATCTGAAGACTTAAATGCCTCAGGTATTGTCTTAGTTGGTTTTACTTGGGTAGACTACATGAGTCATTCATGCAACTTTTTCAAACTTGACAGACTAAAATCTTAATGTGACCTCATAGAAAAGAGTTCCTGGATTACTTATGTGTAGTGTAAAGCACTGCTTCTTTTTATTATTGTAAATAGGCTACTTACTTATTAATGTGTAGAAGTAATCCTAGAACTACGCCTATTGCTGTAGTTTTAGAAAATAAAGAGAAACTTCTGATTTATACTACACGCAGTAGGGGCTGTTCTTCTCTATATGCAGTAGTTACAGCTTTAGTGCTTTTACAGTTTTCCAAGATTTTTCTAATCTAAATAGTATCACTGAAACACACTCTGAAAATTCTCACAGAATTTGTAATGGCTTTCCAAAGAGGGTAACAGTTCATGCTCCTGTTATAGTCCTTATCTTTTTTATCACTGTTCATAAACAAGTTTTTCTGTGCCTCTAATAATTTTAGGCCTGTCTCTCAACCATTTCAATTTCCATAATAATCTCTTCAAGATTTTGCGATCAGTACTGAATGCCATGATCACAGTGAGGATGCATCACTGATTTACCATAACAACATTATAATATTTTCAGCATTATTTTCTATCTTTGTCTTGATACAGCCTACCATTCTGCTTTTTTTCTATCTCTGCTCATTGAGCAGGTTTTTTTTCAATAAACAGATGTATCTACCATAATATATCTGTACTTCCCTGATTGCTACCATGTGAGTCACTAAAATGTTTCCTTTTAATGTGAACCATTTTGCACCTATCTATTATGTATATTGCCTGTCAGGTTCTGCATGTTGTTTTTCATGGTATTCTGCACTCACCTAGGAAAATCCATGCATCCTGCTGCATCAGCTTCACCATCTTGTCTTGCTGCTTGCTACAACCATTCAGCAAAGTTTGGTGTGAATCCGTTGGACTCCTCTTGTAGACTCTTTCCTTGCAAAAGGATGTTCTATTCCCTAATTTTGTGTTTCTTTGTTTTTTAAGCTGTTTATATGCCATAATAGAAGTGTAGCCTTCACTTCTATGCTTCCTTTATGCCTCTGAGGCAGGACGTGTAATATGGCTAAAAGCACTTTTTTGTTTTTTTTTTTTTCAAAAATAGCTCAACTTGTAGCAGCTCGTTAACACTGTCATTTTGCTTCCAAATTTGAAAACCTTGTTTTAAGGGGTTCTTTTGAATCTTTAACGACACATGCTTAGACCAACATGACTGACTGAAGATCTTTACCATGAACTGGAGTCTTATAGCAGTCAGAAATTCAGACAGAACTCATCTTCTTCAGCTTTAGCCATGTAAGAGATGTTTTGTGAAAGCTACTAACTAGATGTCCATCAGAAACAAGATAGGCATGTTCATAGGCTGATCCATTCTGCTCATAAAGAGTCATTTTAGATAGGTTGAATCTATAATAGGTGTCTATTTGCCTTAATGTATCTGTTTTCTCCATTGACTAGGGAGGAAACTAGGTTGGCTATTTTAGGATTAAATAAAAATACTAAATGAGTAAAGTTAGATAAGAAGAATCCAGGTTCAAGAGACTGTTGGGATTCAAAACACTTTCCCATTCATGAATTCCTTAAGTTAGCTTTCCTAATAATTGGTGTTTTAAAAACTGTTTGCCCAGAGAACACAAAAGCACCTTTTGCATGTTGTATTATTTCCCAGTGTGCCTCATCAAGATGGTTCCCTGACTGCTGTTGTTTGGCTGTTCCCTTCCATATAGTAGATTCAGTAAATCTGGCTGGTAGTCTCACTTGTCCTCAGTCTAGTTTTATCTATAGTGCTTGCCAGAACCTTTCATATTTAACTGAGTCTCGCAGCACTACCAACTTTGAGCTTCTGCCAACTCCAGCATGAAAAAAGAAAAAAAGATCTACTAGGCAGCATTTTTGTACGTAGTCAGTTCCCTGTCTTTGTTGTCATTGACTATCATGCTCTAAATTAGTTGTTGAAAAGCCATAGACAGCTCCCAGATGAGCCTGTGGTCATTCGCTGTACATCCACTTTCCAAATTTCATGCCAGAAGAGTTTTCTTTCTGCAATCTCATCCTACAACATACAGCCTACATCTCATTATAACAACTCCATGCAATCCCTTTTATTCCTCTTGCCCATTAAAATCTAACCAGCTCTCAATCACTTCCCCTCTGACATGTTCTTATTGCTTTGATGCTGTCTTGTTTTATGAAAACTGCACTCTTCTTTCTCTGTGTTTGAACACAGCCACTAAATTGTGTTGTCTCAATCTAACTTTGTTTTTCTTTTGGCTTTTTATAATATCTGACTTTCAGTGATGAGGGTGACAATTTTTCTCCTTCCTTTCTCTATTTTTCTATCATTAG